TTGTTGCTCCAGTCCACGCTGCTCAGTGAGCAGAGGACGAGGAAGCTGTTTCCTGCTCTGTTTTCCTCTGTTGCGGGCGGGCGCTGCGGGCGGGCACAGGCGGCGGCGCTGCAAGTACCGGTCCCATCCAAATGCAGTATAGTACCATTTTAAATGCCTCAGTACCGCGGTACCATACTAGTACCGGTATATCGTGCAACACTACTAGTTACTAACACGACACTACAGGTAGAAGGCTGCATCTTTCCCGCCTGCCTCTCCTTCACCTGTCCACACACCAGACAGCCTCTATGGGAGGAGCTGGAGCGAATCTCCAAAAACACCTGAACAGGACGGAGCTGCCAGCCTCGTGACTGGGGCTGTTCAGTGCCGGCTTTCTGATGCCTTACCTCTGTGCTTCCTCCCGGTGAGTCCAGCCTGCGTTTCTTGCGCGGCCCGATGGCGGCAAGGGCTGTGAGGTTTGCGTCTCGTTGTCGCATCTGAGCCAGCTCCTGCTGCTGCATCTGTGGAGGAAAACAAAGCACAGTGTCAAACGTCAGCCGTGTGGCCTGGGCTCATGGCTGCTGCTCATAGTACTTTTTAAGATATTGCCCCAAATTAGCTAATCCAGGGCTGAGGGACACCGACGGTGAGTAGAAGCAAATCACTGTTATTGTATTCTATTACTGCATATTGTGCTGTGGTACACAGAGTCTAATCCAACAGTAAACCCTCTTCCATTAGGTGATGATGCACCTGTGATCACTGTGGGCTGCTGCTCAGGTAGACTGTGGTATTCTCAGGACTGTTTCTGCTGTTTTGTCCACCCCGTGTACATTAATGAGACTATACAGTTCATAAAGGTTGGATTTACTGCCAGACTGCATCAATGGGCTCTGAGCTCAGTCCACTACAGTTTCCAAGGATACAAATCGACTTCGACGCCCAGCTTTTTTTTAACCTGTGTAGTTTGTCAGCTGCTGATGGACCTGCTGGACCAGACAAACTGTGAGAGCTTCATATGAAGGCGACATTTAAACACACAGACAGTAAACATACCTCTTTTGCCTTCTGCTTGAGACGAGCCTGTTCGGGATCTTCCTGTCTGGCCCGGCTCTGGAGGTGAACAGACACATCGGTCAGGTTTCAGTTGTTATACGACAACGTGTGAGCAGCGGCGTCTCTCACAGCTCTGAACAACGGTGAACTGTGACCTGAAGCCCAGCTGTGATTCGACCTCTTCTGGTTCTAACTGAAACGTTGCCCAGTAAAAGTCTGTAAACCTCAGGCAGTGGCCAAGATGAGACAACTCAGCTATTTCCTTTTCCATTTTCAAATACTAATTCATCACCTGCTGGTGGAGGAGGCAAATTTCAAATATTTAATTGTTTTTCCTTTAAAGTATTTGTTGGCATTTCAGAATAAGGGTAATTTCAGGGTGAAGTTAACGGTACTCCTACTCTTACTGATACTGCTGATATCAAGCTGGTACTTTAACAGTAGTTTTTGTTACTTTATGAAGAGAATAAACAAAGATCATAATTAACATTGCTTCATTCCCTCATATATACTCTTAACATTCTTGAGTAGCAAGCTGCAACAGCATTATTTTTGAACAAAACAGTTTCTAATGGGATTATTAAAATGGAAAATCAGTGGCATTAATATTTAATGCAAAAGAAAAGAATTATGAGCCAACATTATTATTTAAACTACATATAAAAATTGAAAGCCCACCTTAAACAAACACCTTTGTGCTGACAACACTTTGCTTTCACTGTATTTTTACTGTGCAGTATTTTGAACCTGCTCCTGTTCTGAAACTGATGCTCTGATCATTTCAAACTGAATTTATGATCATACCCATAACAGTCAGCTGGCTCACAGCCTAATCTTCATCGTCATCGGTGTCACCATCACTAGGTACAAGCGCTACAATGATTAGGCAGATAGAGCTGGAAACGTGTTCCAGAAATGATTTTCCTATTTATTGTATTCCATCAGTCTCCGATTTTCATTATACATACAGGCTATGCACATTGGATGGTAAGAGTATTTATAAAAATATAAAATGATTTACTAAAAATACAACGTCTGCTGCATTAAGTTGCAAAACAAAGGTGGTGCCACCATCTGAGAGGCACCAGGGTGAACCACACACTGTGGCCCTCCCAGTCTCCAGGTCTCAGCCCAGTGGAACAGCTATGGGAGATGTTGGAGCGACGTGTTAGACAGCGTCTCCACCACCGTCATTAAATCACCACATGGAAGAACATGTTCATCCCTCCAGGAGGGTTCAGAGTCAAGGTGTAGCTGCTCAGATGGCACATGGTGGCCCAGCACCTCACTGGGACTCTGCTGGGTCGGCATTTCATCTGTCACCTGTCTCCTTGTGTTTGAGTGTGGGTTTGTACCTTTGCAGCCTTCAGCAGCATCTCTCTCTCCTGCTCGTCTTTCCTCTGTTTCTCCATTCGCTCCAACTGCTCAAAGAAACGAAGCTGAGTGCGAACGTCTGATGTCTGCTCGTAAAGTTCTTCATCCTGATGGAGGAAGACGAGGCCCAGAGTCAACTGACAGTGAAAAGCTGGATTTAGTGCCAACTTACTCTTAAACACAGTGAATTGTGGTTAAAAAAATAATGGATGTAAATAAGAAGCTATTTGTTGAATAAAAATGATTTCTCTGGTGTTAAAATCTCCCAGAAAGTTTTCAGTGCCATGTCATTAACTATTCCCATTCTTCTGAGTCTGAGTCTGTGTCTATGGGGTCACAGAGTTGCGTTTAAGACTTTGCTCGTGGTCGTATCTGTCACAGAAGAGAGACAATATGAGCTACAGTTACAGTGAATGCGCTGAGACTCCTTCACGGCAGACAGCCAAGTTCAAGACATATTTGAAGGAGCATTTAAACAAGAAGCACCTGAACACGCCATGAAGTGCCACAGGTGAAGCTCTGATGCAGTTGTACATGTGAGATTTGAGTTTAGACCTTTTTTAAAGACATTTGCAAAAAAAGTCTGTTTCCACTTTGTGGAGTGTTGCTGAGTGTAGACCGTGTCCTTTTGCAGTTAAATCTACAACACAGTAAAGTCTGCAGAAAGTGGCGGCCTGAATACTCCCTGAAGCCATGAAGGTTAGCACACAGCTGTACATACCAATTATAATCATATAATAAATCAATTAACAGGACCTGGACCCAGGTACATGGCAGAAAACTGCTGGGCAGACTAATTATTGAGCTGATAAGGTCCATCACCACTGTGGCTGGTAGCATAATAATAATAATAATGATTCCACCAAAAGCGTACAGAAAAGTCAGGAAACTGGATCTAGTGCTCTTACAGACATTCTGTGTAAGAAACAATGGTTAACATCAGTGTGAGTGTGTCTGTTCTTGCCTTTCCCCCGTCTGTACGATGCTGAGCCACAGCTGAAACCTTCTCCAGCAGCGAGCGGAGTCTGGACTGGGTCGCATGGGAGATGAAGTTCACCACTTCCAACGGTACCTCGGTCACACCGAGCTTCTTCGCTGGAGGCCAGAAACAACACGTGTCAGCATCTGAAGGTGCTACGTCTCCCCTCCACACCAAACCTGGTCCCTGATCATCATCCACCTCCTCAAACTTCTACACTCCCACACGTCATGAATCTAAAATGCTCTGTGTTGTAATGTGTTTGTGTCGAGAGCACAGGCCTGAGAGAATGTGGCTGCAGTCGGCTGAGAGACAAAACCAGCTGTTATTGTCGGGAACCATGGAAGAACCATTAGGACAGCCCAGTCCGGTCTTTAGTGGCTCAACAAGTGATTTCACATTCAACAGTTTTCTCTTATGTAGAGATATAAAATCCACTTTCTGATGCCTGCATCTGAAACGTGGTCTTTAAGCGTCCAACCTGACTCTGTTTTTGTAATTTGTGCGAAGTGGCTTCTGTGTCTCTGTAGTTTCTATGAGCACTTTGTCTGTAAAGCCGTCTAAATGGCGGATTCTGCTCACCGTTTAGTGGCTTGACGATGCCTGACAAAGATCTTTCTTAGATCAAAACATTGCTGCTGCATCATTAAAACTATTAGGAGCTCAGTGTGTGGACTTTGTCTGTTGCCTTCAGGTCGTTGCTGATCTAGCACGCCCTGCGTTTTATTCTGTTCACTGAACCATCAGAACTCTGCTTTCAGTAAGTCTGGTGTTCTATGTTAGTGGGTTTCAGTCCCATATTTAACTCCAAATGTATTCATAATAAAGCATTAACCCTCCTGCCTCCCTGTGGAGACCACTCAGGTCTGGACTGGGTTATGAAACATGTATGCAGCTCAGAGAACAATCTGCTGAATCTATGAGAACCCGTGAACGTGCCACTGAAGTAGTCATGAAATGTGTCTCTCCACTTTCCCAGATGCTGCCGGACACCAGCCCCACGCAGGTGAAGCTACCTGTGTCCAGGATGCGGCGGTGCAGCAGGCCGGTGGGCAGGAAGGACTCGTCTTTACAGGAGCGGATCTTTGTGCCGACAAGCTCCAAGCTGGTTGCTAGGATACGGGCATTTTCCTCATTAAGGTTGACACCGGCCATGGACGCCACGTCGTTAATGTCATCGTCATCTCTGCGAGCAAGAGAAGCAGAGAGGTTAAGACGCAGGAGAGGAGAGGGAGGGCTGTGTCTACTCTGCTGGTTTCTTCAGGCTGAGGCGCATTCATCGGGTTCCTCGTGAGCTACCAGAACAGTTTATAGTCTGTTTGGCTGAAACTGCACAGTCGAGATAAAAACATTTCCACATACATCCTAAAACCTTGCTGTGATCACAAAGGGCTTCATTACTAGGGATGAGACAATATATTGAAATTCAATATATCAAATCAAAAACGTCACAATACATTGTTTTGCCCAGCGATATCTATCATGTGGTCTCCACACCAGCGACTTCATAGGTTTTGTAGTCTAACATAACGTAAGTCTATATATCTGTGTGTTGTTTACATAATCAAACCGGTGCTAGAAAAGGGGAAAATGAGGAATGAAGTACAAGTATTCTTTAGCTACTCATCCACCGGCTTTAGCTGGAATTATGCTTCTGCAGAGACACAGGTAAACGTCTTTGCAGACCTACACAGAGAAGGGTGTTATGGGTAACCAGAGGTCGCTGAGGAGCTGATGGATGTACCCCCCAAATCTCAACATCACCTTGTTTTGCAAACATCCCCGTCTTGTTCTGCTCCACTTAGGTTTGAACTGATAAAGCATGTATTTTCTGTAAATCCAAGTAAGCATACTATAGCAAAACTCATACTTTTCCATTTGCTTCAAATTCCTCAAGCAAATGAGCCATCAAACTTTTTAAGCTTGATGGTCGATCATCTAATCATTTGTATGATGTTTTAAAGGTCACCTTGAATGATTTTCATAATAATGACAGAAAATAATAACAGACAATTGACAAAAATAATGTAGAAAACTGAATTTGGGACAATCCACTTTCATTTCAGGGCGACTTTGGGCCAATTCCTGGGGGACTGTGACGATAGTTAAGAGCCCTGTTTATGAATCCGAAATGTGAAATGCATTTCTATAAAACTGAGACAAACTGGATTAGCTGCACTTGCAGTCAACCCTCTGCTTTCCTGCTCTGATGCACTGAGCTGTGTGTGTGGGCAGATCGCATCAACTCTGATGGAGCGCGGCAGAAACGCTGCTATGATACTCCACACAGAGATGAGGTCTACCAAGGCAGTGTCAGCTTAAGGAACACCTGTCTCAAACTAGGTCAGTCAAATCCAACAGCCCTGCAGTAAATACTCCTTCACGAAGTTGACAATGTTCAGTTTGTGTTCAGACTGCTGATTCAACAGTACAGAGGCTGGGGTCTGTGTGCACATGCTGCCCTCTGGTGGCTCATCTGTAAACTGCCCAACACTTTAAAATGACAAGATACTGTAGTCTTCTCATGAATATTAATAACTGTCGAATTCTGAATGACTTTAAGTCCCAATTATTTAATGTGGCAAATGAATCCAATGATGAACGCCTTGCACACAGGACTTTGATCTCTGCTGATTCCTGTTTGACATGAAGACCCACAGACTCTCGACTCTCCTGTTCACTCCCACTGATCTAGAACATGATCGCAGTTGATTTTTCAGATAGTTTATAGTTCACCTGAATGTCCCGCCCCCTGGGTCACTGAGTTTCTTCTGACTGCCTGGAGCTGCCAGGTTAACCGGACTTTTGCTGATAATGGTTGTGGGTCCTCGCATGAGCGTGGCTGAAAACAAAGCATTTAGCTTAAATTAGTAAAACCAACGGACGTTTCCCCCCACAACTGGAGATCTGTACACTAAGTAAAACGTGAAATCCAGTAATCTTTGCTGTCATGAGCTGATGTTGAGAAGGTGAATCTCTTCCATCTAGTGGTGCAGAGTGACGTGCAGCTGGACTCACCTGGGGGTCTGAGAGTCTGAGTGATGACAACAGGCGTCCGAGTCTGAACAGTCTGGACTCCTGGTCGACCCACAGCCTGGAGGAGAGGAAAGACATTACCAATATTAACAGCCAGCCAGCTAGCTCTGGTGAACACATGCTGCATACACACACACACGATCAGTCTGGCGTTCCTCTAATAATCCTCTGTGGCATTTTTCTGCCAGGTTAGTTTGTACGAGCATTTCCAGTGATAAAGGTTTCCTATTTAAGGAGTTTCTCACTGACTTCGAGAGGTTCAGGGCCTCGGTGCACAGGTGTGCCCCAGTGAAACAGACTGAAGCTTCTGCTGCTGCTAACTCCACGTGAACTCTGATTAGAAGTCATTGTGATTCTGAGGTCAGAGGAGCATTTCTCCCCTCTGTGAGGAAAGGCAACCCATCTGACTCATGACAGGGCTGAACTCGTGTTCATTTGTATGTTAGAGAAAAGTGGTTCTATGATGTTTGTGTGTGCACTCCTCCAGCTGAACTGCTCATCTTCATGGTCAGTATAAAACGTAATAACTATTCCTGATAGTAAACATTTTAAAGGGGTTGCTTCTTCTTTCTCAGGCTCCAGGTGTTGGGCAGTGACTTAACCACCACTGGAATCATCTTCTTTAAGACATACTGTGATTTTACATGTGAACATTCATTGTGCGTTTTCTACTGAAGCTGTGCTAATATTTAATTCGCCTGAATACATCTAATTCAGCTGGCCGTTTTGTGCAGCGGTGTGGCTCACTGGGGGGGTTTAGTAGCTGGTGGACAACAGTGGAGGTTCAAGGCACAGAGCAATGAGCTGGACCAGGGTCTGGAATCACACACATTACAGTGAGGACACCACATTCACTGGTGCTGCTGATCTCTGGACAAACTAAATCACCGGCTGCATCCTTTAAAGCCCGGCCGTCAGCACAAACTGCTCAGCCGACCTGTACCCGTGACCGTACCAGAGCTGCTGTGTTTGTGAGCGGTGTGTTCAGTCTGATGGAGCTGCTGGCCGGACTGGTAGGCAGCTGTGGTCTGATGGTGGTGGTGGTGACGGAGCTGGGGGCAGCCAGGGGAGTTGCGGCGGTGCTGGGGGTGGCGGTCATCAGAGACTGCTGGCTGCTGAGCAGAGACTGGCGCAGGGCAGGGAGGCTTTTCTGTGGGAAAACACAACATTGCAGCAGCAGAGAGATCATTCAGAACTGAAGGAAGAGAAGTCCCCGAGGAAACGTGTGTGGAAGAAGTACTCGGATCTCTGACTTCTTAACACTACCAGTACCACAGCCCAGAAATATTCTGGAACAACTCCAATCTACAGTGCTTCGATTCTCGAAAACGTCTGAAGACATTTTTAGATAAACTGAAAAAGTGTGCTTAGAATGAGAACAGTGATCAATGGTAGCCCTAGTACTAATAGTAGAAGTATTGATAACAGCAGAATGAAAAGCAGTGAAAGCTTTTTACTGTGTAGGACGTGTGTTGTAGTTGAGACAATACAAAAGGGAAAATCTGTTAGCAGCACTAACACCCGCAGCAGTGGTAGTAACAGCAGTAAGTGAAGTAGTGTAGCTGGTACCTTGAGGAAGGGGATGAGGTACGGCTGCGGGGAAGACTTCAGCTCCGCCTGCAGCCGAGTGGTGAACTCCTCCGGCTCAATCTTAGCATCCTGGATCCAAACACACACAAACACACAAGTTAAACTGTAGAAGTGAGGTGAGACCCCCGGGTGAAGCTTCATGCACTAAAACACCTTACGAGTAGGTCCTGCACCAGGGACTTCACATTCTTGGAGGTATCTGGAGAAGGGGAATTGTGAGACGCCAGCTTGATGAGAGTGGCGAGGAAGTTCTTGCATTTCTTCACGTTTTCTTGCATTTCCTGTGGGGACGAAGGCATCAGTGACATCGGTCAAGCTGCCTTTCACTGGTTTCATCTGAACTGAGCTGCTCAGTAAACAGTGTGAAGACAGAACTGGACCTGACCTGCGACACCACTGTGACTCTGGCGGCGGGCGGCGTGCTGGTCATGGGGGTAGACGGGACACCGGCGGGTTTGGCCAGAGGCGCCCCCCCTGTTGTGATCACTGTCGGGGTCTTCTGAGGAGTCGTCATCTTCACCGACACCGCTGTACCGCCGGGGGCCACCGTGACGGCCTAGTGGGAAACAGCAACACCATCAGGGACGGAAACCGCAGAACTACCAGCTTTACCAAACATTACTGTAGTCACTATGGTAGCACATTGTACAATTTATCTCCATTACTGGAAAACTGGTTTTTAAAAATGCCAGCTTGTCCAGGACACGTGGGAACCCTGCGTATTGTTTCACTGCTTGTTTTAACACAACCATGAAGTGGGAATGTGATTTCTCTTCAGTTTCAATCAAAACTCCTCAGCTAATTACTCTGACTGGTGCTTCTGTTCATCAAACCCATGGTGGCAGCTTAGGGACGTTTAAACTGAAGCCCCTCTGCTTTAACCACACAAAGCGCTGTGTAAATGTGGACACATCTGATCAGTCTGAAGGTTTACCAGACACAACACACTGCGCTGAGGGTTCAGAACACTCAGTTTCTAACTTTCGAAACAGGAAACACACACCTGTACAGAGGTGGTGGAGGGGGACTGAACCATTCTGGTCTGCGCAGGGGAGGACAGGCGGACGGTCTGAGGCGTACCTGGAGCCTGGAGACAACAGAGAAGGAAACCTGATGACATCACGAAGCAGCACAGCAGGTCAAAGCTCATTTAAGTGCACAGAGATAATCAGATCCATTTTGTTATTATTTTCTTTGTTTTTCTCTGCGATTTCACACTTGAGCTGCAACTAACAGTTTTTCTGATTATCGATTAACCTGCTGATTATTTTGCTTGTCCAGTCATTTTGTCTCTGAAGTCAGAAAGAGTGAAAAAATGTCCAATAGAATTTTCTAAAGTGAATGTTTAAATGAAACAAGATGTCTTGGTTTGTCCAGAACCTAAAGGGATTCAGTTTAATGTGACAGAAAACAAAGAAATGTCCTCAAATAACTCATTTATTTTATAATTACTGCAACTCTATTTTGCACCAAAGATGCCCAAATAAAGTAAAGTATATTTGTACACAAGTATACAAAAAACTCGTTCAGAGCCCATCCATATTTCCAGTTGTTGTTGTGTGATCCAACAGGTGAACACACCTGTGTTGTCCCCTCTCCAGCTGAAACCAAACAGCTGGGACAGACAGCCCTGCTGCAGATGTTCCAAAGATGTTCCCAACTGTCGGCTGCTCTGCTTTCACTCCTCACCTGGAAAGTCTGGCCCCTGTGCTGCCAGTCCATCACTGTTCTGTCCTTGTCCACAGCCTGGAGCCGTTTGTAGCTCCTTCTCCTGCTACAGGGTGAAACCCTGAGCAGCTCTGACTCCCTGTGTTCATGGCCTGATGCTTCAGAGGGAGCAGTAACACAGTCTGACCCAGCTCTGCCTTTGTACAGACAGAATCCGTTGCTGTCAGTCACCAACCACAGTCGGGACCTGGAAACTGTTGTCAAGCCTGGTTCATATGGACGTTACACTGTTTTAGTTGTTAGTGACTTTTGTTTTACTTCTTTGTACCATGTAAGGTTGTCAACTGTACCCGAACTGCTTACATCATAATAAAAAATGGAACAGCACTGGAGGTGAACACGTTTCACTGTAGTGCAGTGTTAAATTTGGCACCTGAATTGGATTTAGTCTCAGTATTTTGACAAAATGCATATTTTAGTATTTAGATTTTTGTTAGTTTTATTCAGGATGCTCTTTCCATCCTGCATTTTTATGTTTATATCATCCAAGCATTCAAGCCTACAGCTGTTGCCACCTTTGTTGTGTATAGTTGCCATGGCGCTGTTGTGTTGTTGTAGTAGAAAACGCCGTCTACGTCCCTGTGCTCTGCAGAAGCTGATTCAGTCCCAGCCTGAGAGGAGAAGCTAAACAGTGGGAGAACATGAACACGGTGAGGTTTCTCTAGAGGAAGATTCAGATGAGGACACAGTGAGGGGATCTGGTTTGGAAGGAGGATGTTTCCTCCCTCCAACAGAGGGGACCTAACACTGCTTTGGAGACCCGGCCCTGACAAAGCTCTGTTAGTCACTGTGTGGTAGTTTGTCCTTTCAGCTATCACTATCCACACCTACCGTAGTGGCAGTGCTGACCCGGATGGTGGCTCCAGCCATGGGTGTTGCAGGTCTCTGGGTAATGTTGGTCACCGTTTGGCTCTGCTGCATCTTGGCCTGAGCCTGGGCCAGCACCTGCTGAGGGACCATCACCAGCTGCCCCGTCTCTGTCTGGACCAGAACCATACCTGAAGGAGGAGGAAACACTTGTCTGTACATTCACATGAAACCATGACAAAGATCAGCCACCTGACAAATGTGATCGGAGCCCTGGTTCACTGGCACATCTAATGTGTCTAAGTGCTTCTTAGCTGCTCGGCAGCTCGCTCTACCGAAGCTGTGTACGGCAACAGGAAATACTCGCACACTTGCTGGTTGAATATCAACATGATAGACAGTCCTGAAGCTTGCAGAAATAAGACTTTAAAACTGACTCGTAAAGTTTAACAACAATAAACTGTCCTCCCATGAGACGACACTGATATTAACCCTTCTATAAAGTTATCAGAGGTCTGATGATAACGGTCATCCTGAGGCCCGTCTGCAGCTCCACAGGCCAAGACAGAGCCGCTGGTCTCTGCTCCGGTCAAGCTGCTCCACCAGCTCCTGCACAGAGCAACGTGTTGGAGTTGGTTGTCGGAAACAGACGACCTCCCATGTTCCCTGAGGAGGGAACCTGGCCCCCCAGTGCAGTGGTGTGGCTCACTGGGGGGTTTTAATAGCCAGTGGACAACAATGGAGGTCTATGGCACAAAGCGATAAGCTGGACCGGGGTCGGGACTCACACATTACGGTGAGGACACCACGTTCGCTGGTCTCTGGACAGAGGTTGTGGGGAGTAACAGCAACATATTAAATCACCAGTTGCATCCTTTTAGTGTGAAATGATCTAATAATTCTTGGTCTCAGTCTGTGTCAGATGCTGGCAGGCGTATCAGCATCATTTCATGGTGTTTTCTGACTGGCTGTTTTGTAGCTGCAAGTCATAGACAGGACTGCAAATCACAGTGACACTGATTAATGAGTCCTCTTCCAGTTATTTTCTTGATCAAATAATCAAATGATTGGTCTGTGAAATGTCAGAAAAAAAACAAAAATGCTCATCTCAAATTCCTAAAGCTCAAGGTGACAGCTTTAGTTTACTGTCGCATGTGATGCAGAAAACCATCAAATCCTCACATTTTCAGCAGCCACATGATGTTGCTTCTTAAATGTAACAAAAACAAATACTTACCAAAACAGCTGATCAATTACCTGGTCACAATACCTGGTGAGAATTTAGTCCTAAATTTCTGACTCTCACGGAGAGATCTAGGACCGTTTTAGCTCAACAAATATTTTACCTAATTTCAGCCCCAGGCAACAGGCAGAGGAGCCTTTAGCCCAGCTGAGCCTCACTGGTGTATCACGATGACATTCACAGCACTTGATTTACCAGAAGATACCTTGTCAGACACCTGGAAGGACATGCACCATCACTTCCTGCTGTTTGGAACCGTTTTCCAGAATCCTCAAAGACTCTTCTGAACATCAGAATGAACAAAGACTGTTTGCTGCAACATAAACAACATTTTAACTCTTCCTCAACTTTTTTTCTGATCCAAACAAACACTTTGGCTGGAAACGACACTTGTGCTTGTTCAAATTATACAGCACTTAGTTTTCTTATCAGTGACATATTGTCAAAGAAAATGTGATGTGTGTTTTACAACAAGCACAACAAAGTGTGTCTTTTCTCGCTCCCTGGATAAGAAGTCACAACTTAAGAAATAAATCCTGCAGGGCTGAAACTAAATTATTTTTATTAACAATTAACCTGCAGAAAATTTTTTCAACTAATTTTCAAAAAAAAAAAAAAACACCAAAAATAGCAATTACAGCTTTGCAAAGCTCAACACAGTATTCTCAAACATCTAGTTTGATTTGACCAAAGGTCTAAACGCCCAAACATATTTAGTTTACAGTGATGTGACAAAGGAAAGCAGGAGATCTTCTAGTTTGAGAAGCCGGGACATCACTCTGTGCTTGACAAATCAAACAATGATCAAAATAGATGACTACCTTCCTGTGAATCAGCTAATCAATCATTCAACTCATTGTTTCATGTTGCAGCAGACATGATTATTTTTTTCAGTCTTTGAGGATTCAGAAAAACCTTCAGAACAGCAGCAGCCAACAACAGGTGACCCAGCAGGGTAGGCGTGTCATCCTTGTCTCACCAGGCGG